TGAGGTTTTATTCTATTATGCATTACAATTGACCTGTAATGACCTCCTCTTTTTCACAAACATGTTTTCATACTAAAAATCAAAACCTACAGATTACTGCATTTGAGAATGATAGAGTAAAAACTCGTGTTGCCTGAACCATGGAAGAAACGACCCAACACAATTTCCTGATCATAAGAAAGTGAAATCAAGTGAAAAAGACTTTAGGGCCCAGAATATGTTCCTAACCTTAATTTCTAAGAATGGTGGTTTAACTAAGATCATACAAAATGAGCCCAGTGTAACAGCATGACTGCCTGTCTGCAACATTAGAAGAGGCTTTGCTGCTCTGTTTTGTTCTCCCTATGGTGCTATAAATAGAGCAGACAGGCACAACAGTACTTGCTATCTCATCCAGACAGACACCGCTCTGCACTGAAATCTCAGACAAAAGAAATGCTGTGCAACCCTCCTCTGAACTCCTTTACAAAACAATAACAAAAATAAATGTGGCTTATGTAAAAGCTCTAAGCCTAACACACTCCAAAAACCTCCCACTAATGTATTAAATAAACCAGTTCACCCCAAGGAACATCTCTTCATGTCTGTTTCACTTCAGACGGACAGCAACTTGTTTTTTGTTCTCCATTTCATTTTCTAATGGCAAAATGTTCATTTTACTTACTGCCTTGAATGGTGGTCTCTCTACAATTCTTCTCTATTGATGCAAACGGACAGGTTGTAAATAATGTGTGAAATTAAGAATTGTATAACAGTGAGAAAAATAGGGAGAAAATTAGAAAATAGCCATGTATCAATAGGCTGTGGATACCCATCAGTCAAAATGAAACAATGGTCTTTATAGTAAGAATTACATTTGTTTGTCAAGGAACTTGAAATAATGACAGATTACCCTTGTGCTAATATGCCGAACACTGGAATGCATGCAAAAATGATAATCCTAGCCCGGGAGTCACATCAGTGGTGATGAAGATGTCTTTGTTAAGTGTGACATATTTTTGGCACTATAATTTCAGTTTCCCCTCAGAAATATGTGAATCTGCCCAAAACCACTGGGAGTGAATATCTCTGAACTTACTGCCTTCTGTGGTAGACATGCTGAAAGATGCCCTTCAAGCCTGTTTGGCTGTCTGCACAATAATCAGCCCCCCCATAAAAGGGGTTAGCAGGCCAAAAAAGAATGGGCAGGGCCTGCAGAACAGACAGCAGACACTGTCTCTTGTATACGTGATTCTGTTCCCAGAGCTAAGCCTCCGCAGCTGTCCCAGGGGAACTAGTTCACTGACGCATCTCAATATAACCTACACTGACTTCAGTGCTGACAAAACAGCACCACTGAGAAGAAGAAGAAGAAGCAAGCCCACAAACTATCCAAATACCAGCTGTTCTTGCTTCCTTCTCCATGAAAACATTGAACTAAATTACAGGTAAATCTCCAATCCAGCACAATATTCCTCATGACAATTCAGGTATTTTCAGATACTGTATGTGCTTTGTTAGTTTAGGATTTTTTTCAAAATGAATGATAACTACTTCAAAACTTCAGGGATGGAAGAAAAGATCAGTATTATGAAATTAAACTCTGTGTTTGTTTGTCATTCAGTTCACCACCAAGAACAAAGTAGTGCTCCTTCTGAACATTAAAAAGTCTTTGGACAACTTTCAATTTTAAATCCCCGGCAGAAAGTCAAATGTTTCACAAAGAACTGCTTGATATGTCATTTATATAAAAATTACATCTATACTTGGTCTAGACAAAAATGTCCATTTCCCTTCAGTTCACTGCTTCCTTCAGTCATAAAAAATTGACAAAATCCAATGCATGCTGCGGTAGTTACACAAGAGAGACTCA